TTATTTTATCGATCAATAAATAAATATATTAAAAGTAAACTTATATTATATTTACATGAGTTTAAATAAATTTTTTATTAAAGTTATATATCGATAATTAGCATAATCGATAATTATTGATTGAATATTAACCGAATATATATCGATTACTATCACAATCAATAGAACTCAACAGGGAGAATTATTATCGATATATATCTACATAGATATTGATCGATATATATCGGCCTATATTTTTTGCTGATGTATTCTATTATATAAAGCACCAAGTAAGGATAATAAGGATGTATATATGTCTCATAAACAAAAATATGGTATTCATTTACAAGGAGTTGTAGATCATCAAGGTTTTTTTATTTCATATGAAATTGGATGGCCTGCATCAGTTCATGATGCAAAAGTTTTTTCAAATTCAGATATTTTTAAAAATTATAAAAATTATTTTAAGGATGAAGATTATTTAATAGCTGATTCAACTTACCCTTTATTTCCATGGGTTATGATACCATTTAAAGATCCATAAGGTTTACAAGCTCAACAACAAAAATTTTATAATATAGCACATAGCAAGACAAGAGTTATTGTAGAACAAGCTTTTGGTCATTTAAAAGCTCAATTTTCTTTTTTAAAAGAAATGAGAATTAGAGATACAAAAAAAGCAACTGATATTATTGATATAACTTTAATTTTACATAATTTTATTGAAAAACATAATGATATTTGGGAAAATAATAATTTAAATAATGATGAAATAGAATTAGAACCAAATGAAGATAATGAATTAATTGAACAAGTAGTAGAAGATAATAAAACAAATAGAACAGAAAGAGAATTTGCTAAAATTAAACAACAAAATTTATTAGAAATTATTTTAAGTTATTCTTAAAAATAACTTTTATTATTCAAATCTATATCATTTCTTTAATATTATTTCTATAACAATAATTTTCTAATAATATTTTCTAATAATTACTTTTATTTTCTTAATAATTACTTCTATAGATACATCTAGTATCACTACCAAAAGTAATTATTTAATCATTTTTTAAATTTCAATCTGTGTACAAGAATAACAGAGCTAAGAAATTACAAGATTTCTAGAATAATTTTTTTTAAAATTTATTTTGGTTATTTGGCAAAAATTGATGTTTTATTTTTTATTTGGCAAAAATTGATAGTTTATTTTGGTTATTTGGCAAAAATTGATACGTACATACATATGTAGCTTATTTCATTTTATCGAGATGTACTGTATATATATACATATGTATGTACGTATGTTTTTTACGGACATACCTAGAATGCTGTATGCATACTTTGCTAAGTACATTTAAATAAATTTTGAATAAATCGAAGTG